TCTCTCTCTCTCTCTCTCTCTCTCTTTCTCTCTCTCTCTCTCAATTTGGCACCGATGGGTCCGTTATTTCTGATCCACCCAGTCCTGTAAAAGTCCAGGCTTGCAAAGGGCCCTTGCTGCACTGGGCCAAGTTGCACTGGGCCGGTTGGGTGGGCTGAAGCTGGCAGGTGGGAAGGAAAGAAGTCCAGGCCAGACTCTGCATCTCCCTCCCCCACCCCCCTATCCATCCATCCATCCATCCATCCATCCATCCATCCACCCATCCATACATCCATCCATCCATCCATCCATCCATCGTCTCTCACACATACGCACAGAATCCCCCCTTTTTCTCTCCTCCTGGTTCTCCATGCTTAACTCTCCACCTCTCCTCCTCCTCCCTTCCCTTCCTTCTCCATCTCCTTTTCTCTTTACCTCCACCTTCCTTCCTCCTCCTTCTCTTTCCTGTCTGTCTCCTTCTTCTCTTATTTCTCCATGTCTATCTCTCCCTCCTCCCTTCTCTTCCTTCTCCTTTTCTCCGCACTTTCTCCTCCCTTCCTTCTCGTTTCTTCTTCTTCTTCTCTTTCTTACCTGCCTCCCCCTTCTCTTTCTCCATGTCTGTCTTTTTCTCCCTTGCCTTCATTCTCCTCCTCCTTTTTTATTCTCTACCTCCACCTCCACCTCCTTCTCCATCTCATCTTCCTCCCTTTTCTCCACGTCTATCTTCTCATTCTACTCCTCCCTTCTTTCTCTTCTTTAAAGGAGAATATTTACGCTCAGGATTGAGATGAGGGGTCCTTGGTGCTTTCTCAGCTTGGCTACCAGCTTCATGCTCGTCCTCCCTGATGATGTTACCTAGTTTTGTAAATAAAACACCTGCAAGAAAACAACCAAGCTCAGAGGGCACCAAGGAACCCACAGTCCTCTTCCTTCTCCCTATAACCCTCCCTCCCTTCTAACACTGATAATGTTCCCTAGTTGGATCATAAAACGTTTGCAACAAAAGAACCAGGTTCAGAGAGCACCTCGTCCTCCTCCTCCTCCTCCTCCTCCTCCTCCTCCTCCTCCTCCTCCCGTTCCACCCTCAATCTTGCCCTTCATGCATCTCCCGGCTCTCCAGGGCTGAGCTGGAATTGGGGAAGCCAATTTGATTTTCTCTTCCTCTTCCTCTGGCTCCTGAGTGGCTGCCTCCATGGCTGCCTTGCTTCCACGACCAAACCTCCTGTCCCGATACCGGTGGTAAGTCGAGGACGGCCCGTACCATACGAGATTCTTCCGGGCCGTATCCCCGACAGCCGGCCAGAAAACGAGGAGGAAGGCTAAGGTTCCCTTTCCTTGACTCCAGTTTGCAACCCCCCCCCCCCTCTTCTCTTTCCAGATCCTCCGGAGGCTCAAATGCCTGGCCTTGGAGACAGAGACAGAGCTGGAGCGACAGGACGAAAGCCTGGACGTCATCACGTCCTCCGTGGATCGGGCCACCATGAACATCGACCGGCAGAACCGCAGAATCCGGAAACTCACCTAGGAAAACCCATCCCGCCAAGCCAAGAGGATTTGGGCAGAGGTCACCGTTCATCCTTTACCTTGGCCGGGGTCGGATCGAGTGACAAAGCAAAAATAACGACGATAATAATTCACAAAAGAGGAAGGGGGCTCCCGACTGGGGCATTTTTATCAAGCGGAGTTTTGTTTCAATGGGCGAAGGGGCTCAAGTTCTTTAACGTAAGTCGCGAAGGACCTTTCGGGTTGCGACGAGGGAGAAGATAAAAGTTGCCAGTCGAAACAACCTCCTTTTGGTTATTCTCCAGCTGATCCGAGAACGACGCATCACGGGGGGTCCCACCCCACCACGCCTTTCGGTGAGGCCCGCTGCGCCCCCCCCCCCGAAGTTACCCACGCAGCCGTGAGAACCTCGGACAGCGCGTGGAAATGGGGCGACGCGATTTGCGAAACGTCCGTTTTGAAATCACCTTTCGGGTACTCCGGCAATTCCTCTTCATCACTTCGACAGCACCTTTGGGGACTTCGGGGAATAATGACCTTGCCTCCTGGGCTGGTGGAGGTTTATCAAAACCAGACTGGATGACCATTTGGACAGGGTGGTATAAGACCTCCGTCTTTGATGGAGTAGAAGATCTCCAAGGTCCCTTCCGGCCTGGGTTTCTTTCTTTCTTTCTTTCTTTCTTTCTTTCTTTCTTTCTTTCTTTCTTTCTTTCTTTCTTTCTTTCTTTCTTTCTTTCTTTCTTTCTTTCTTTCTTTCTTTTTTAATGTCTGGATCGGCCTTCACCCTACGAGGGCCTTTTTTCAAGATAAGCCATCGTGTCAAAATGAGCACACACAACAAGCCAGGCATTTTAGAAAGACACCCGTAAGTGAGCCGATGCGTTTCTGAGCTGGGTTGAGCCCAGCTTCCATCTAGTCATCCCCTGGGACCTCTTCAAGATTGTGGTTTGTTTAAAACCTCTTTATGTAGGCTTCCCCGGCCCCGTAAACCTGGAGGAAAACTACTTAGCAATCTGAACTGGCGGGCACGGCTGGGCTGCCTGCAATCCACCCGCTTATAAGCATGAATATTTCGTTTTTTTAAAAATAGCCAAGCCAGTGACCAAACTGCCTGTATTTTTGGCTAGGAACCTAGAAAAAAAAGACACGGGCGAAATCGCCATTTCTGAGCAGCCCCTTGGATTGCTCTGCGCACTTTAACTGTTGAATATAAGACGAAAAGGAGTGACTCTTCATCTAGTCTTGTCCGTGTAGTCAAAATGCCATTTTGACGGCTTCGCTATCCTGGTGGAGAAAAATAAGTAAATGCAAATATTGTACATAGGCCACGTTAAGCAGGCGACGTTAACACACAGAACAGAGAAGGACACTTGGGGACGGAGATTTCCAGGGACTTTTTAACACCCTGGATGGAATTTTGTGCGGTCGTAGCGCCTGTCAGAAATGAAACGGATTGATTCGGCAGGTTTGGATGGATGGGTTCTCCAGATCGGAACCCAGAAGCTACATTTTGGGGTCCCAGCTGAGGGGGAAAAAAGGGGGGATTTCTTTTAAGTAGGAGGATTTGAATTCGGGTAGAATTGAAAGGGAAGCTGGCTTTGCTTTCGGCCTGTAAAGGTGCATTGGTTTTAACGCAGACAGAAATTTTAATGAGAGCTTCTGCTATTTCTCAAGCTCCGTGGCTTTAAGAGGGGAGGACTCCAACTCCCAGAATCCCCCAGCCAGCCGTGTTGCCTTGGAATTCTGGGAGTTGAAGTCCACTCATCAAAGTCACTGGGTTGGACATACAAGTAGTTTTTAACGTATAACCATTTGCTTAGCAGCTGTTTAAAGTTACAATAGCAGTGAAGAAAGCGACATAACAACTATTCCTCACACTTACGACCGTCGCAACATCCCCTGTGATTTTAATTCAGGTACTCGGCCGTCACGAAGGTTGCGGCAACCCTGGGGTCAAGCGATCGTCATTGTGCAACCTTCCCAGCTGGCCATTCCAACAAACCAAGTCAATGGGGGAAGCCGGATTCGCTTAACGACCACGGAACGGTCATTAAGTGGACATCAGGGCTTCACTTAGCAACCGTGGAAAAAGGTTGTGAAATCGCTCAGCAACCGCTTTGGTTAGCAGCAAAAAAGCTGGTGGTCATAACTTGAGGACTATCTAGTAGTCTACCAAATCTGCTCTGCAGAGAATCCGAATGATGATTAAAAGGCAGGTAATGGTGGTTTGTCACTGTGCGTGGCTGAGCCCAGCCTTTCCTTCAGGTAGTCCTCGCTTAATGGCCACAATCTGGTCTGGCAGCTCGGTCGCTAAGGAGAAAATCACGCGACTGTGATCGGGCCGATCGTCTCCCTTCCCTTTCAGTCGTTAAAACAAAATGTCACAACAATCTTTCTTTGGCCTTTTTCATTAGGGCCACTTGGGCGAATCACACGCATGACAATCCCGTAATTGCAGGGTGCTGTTGGTCGTAAGTGTGAGGATTGGTTGCAAAACTCTAACACCGTCACCACTTTGAATGGTCACTGAATGAGTGAGGACGACATGTGCAAAACTCTTGCCTTTCCTGAAGCTCCATTTTCTTTCAATCGGTCGAGAGAAAAGAAATATTTGGTGACTAAGGTGAATTTGTTTACTAAACGTCATTATATTCCCATTTTATTTTATTGCTAATTGTGAGCCGTTAATTAGAGATTTAAGTCAGGCTAAAACTGCCATCCTTACAGTCAACGTTTCGCAGCCAGTGACAGTAATTTCCAATCAAAACTATAACGTGATTTTTTTCCCTCTCTTCATGTTTAAATTACGTTTCTCAAATTCTTGACTGATTAGATTTTTACGTACACACAAAATCTCGGTTGCTTGGTGTGTGTATTTCACAGCTGTTTCTGTTTTGGGTGTGTTAAGAGCCACAAATTGTGCCGCAACTATTATTCACTCTGGGTGGGCTGCAAATTCCCTTTCATGTGAATTAACGGATTCAAACTTAGCTCTGCTCAGATCGACCCGCAGAAACTGCCGGTAAAGGTCGCAGGTAGTCCTTGACTTACAACCATTCACTTAGTGGCCATTCAAAAGTACAACGGTGCTGGGAAAAAGGGACTTTGGACTGTTTTTCACACTCAGAACCTTTGCAGCCATCCCTATGATCACGCTGGCTGCTTGGCAACGGGCCCCTGTTTACGACGGTCGCAGTTCCCGAGGGACACGTGATCTCCTTTGGCGAGCAAAGTCTGTGAGGAAGCCCAGATTCACTTAAGAACTGCGTTACTAACTGAACAACTGCGGTGAGAAAGGTCGTAAAATGAGGCAAAACTCACTCAACAACTGTCCTGCTTAGCCACGGAAAGTTTGGGCTCCAACGTGGTCGTAAGCCGCAGTTCCGATTTAGCTTAACTGCCGTTAATTTGATCTGGTCTCCCTTAATCGTAGTTGCCAATATGCTCCTCATTTACTCCTCCCAGGCTTAGTTTACAAAGGATTTGCACGCAGGGGGAAATTAACCCCGTGCAGCATGTTGCACTTTCTGGTTTGTTTGTTTGTTTTTTTAAAAAAATATTGTTTACTTTCTGCCTTTTTATGTTGCCTTTTTATGTTTTATGCTTTTTTTTTTTTAAACCCCAATTGTGTCCGGACTTATTTATTTATTTTCTTAAACGGGGTGCTTTAATTTATTGGGTGCTATCTATGCCAGAGGTCTCCAACCTTGGCCACTTTAAGACTTGTGGACTTCAACTCCCCGAATTCTCCCAGAATTAAAGGGGCCAAAGTCAGAGACCCGTGATTTATTCAGATTTGGGATGCGCCAGGGAATCAAAACTGAGCCAGTGCCATAGGAAAAGGCCGGAATTGGTTCACCCATCACAATATTTGAAGCCCCCTGTCCTCGCCCACCCTCTGGAAATTTGGGTGGGGGAGGAGGCAGCCAGGTGACATCCTCAACTCAGCTGTGTTTCCCAAATCTGACGGTGGGTATCCTTGTTAGCTGATTTGGCTGTAACATGTTGTTATTTTTTTCCTGATAATAAAACGAATGGCTAACTTAAAATTGCGAGTGGCGTCTTTTTACACAACCTCCTGCCTCGGAGAAGTCCTTGATGCTCCTACGAATGGATGTGCCATCCTCACTCACATCTCGTGTAAATTATTTTGTGCGTTTCCAAGTAGTCCTTGACTTAAAACTTGGTGATCATTCCAAAGTTACGAGGGTGCTTTAAAAACGGACTTAAGTAGCATTTTTCACGCAGCCGTTGTACGGTCCTTCTACCTCTGATCAAAATCGGGACACTTGGAAACTGGCATGTACTTGTGACTGTTGCAGTGTACCCAGGGGTCGCGTGATCCCCTTTTGTGACCACCTGACAAGCAACGTCCATGGGGGGAGGCAAGATTCATTTAACACTCGCGTCACCAACTTAACAGCTGCAGTGATTCGTTGGCAAGAAAGGCCGTAATATGAAGGAGAAGGGAATTCACTTAACAGCGAAAATATTGGCTTCAATTGTGGACGTAAGATGAGGATACCTAGATTCCATATTCTTTTCCAAAGAATGAGGCAAATCTTTATTCTAAGTTAGATGGTGGTCTGTTTTTCAAATCCTGGCTGATCTGCACCCTTCTACATAATTTTTGTGCCGAGCTATGTGCCAAAAATCTGGGTTGCATCAATTCCTTGCAAGACTCACTTCCCCGTCCAATTTTTGACACAACCTCTTAGGTAGCAAAGACCAGAGTCGTATAACTGATGCAACTCTTTAATTTTTCTTTCTGTTACTCCAACCGTGTTTTCTCTCCCCAGAGACCAATCTAAAAATCTAAAGCTTCTTGCAGTAAGAATTTGCTGAGTTTCATAACTGGCCGCGCACAGACTTGACAGAATGGAAATAACACAGTTTTTGTAAAGATAAATAAACTGTAAATCACTCTTTCTCCATTTTTGGCCACTGGAAGATCAGTGGACTTCAATTCCCAGGATCCCCCAGCCAGGATGGATGGCTGGGGGATTCTGGGAGTTGAAGTCCATTTATTTTCCAGTTTCCAAAAATAGAGACAGTAGTTAGAGCTTATTTATCTGTATAAAAAATAGATATTTCCTCTAACACCGCTCCTGATACAATTGCTCCTACAATTACTCCAACGGAGCCCAGAATTTCTGTGGCTAAGCGAGACATTTGCTCAGTGAAATTTGCCTGATTTTACAACCTTTTTTTTTTGCCACGGTTGTTAAGTGAATCCTTGCAATTGTTAAGCGAGTGATAAGGTGGTTAAAAGTGAATCTGTCCTTCCCCATTGCTTGTCTGAAGGTCGCAAAAGGCGATCGTGTGACCCCGGGACACTGAGACTGTCATAAATACAAATCCAGCGCCTGAATTTTGATCGCCTGACCATGGAGATACTGCAAAGTATTTGTAACTTCATACGGTCACTAAATGAACCACCATAACATCGAGGACTGTAAAATAAGTGTGGATAATTAAAGCAAACCGTAAATCGTTTGCGAACTC